GCCCCGGGGGGGTGGCCGGGGGGGGGGGGGACTGATCCTCTCCTGGCCAGATGTGCCAGTGTTGCTTTGGCTTCTCGCCACCACCAGGAGGTGCTGTTCAACCTCGGCCGAGCCTTTGTCCCAGTGCCTGCCCCTCTGCCCGAAGGGTTTGCAGCCCGCAGCGACGTCGCCTGTTTTGGCCTCTTGGCTGCCGGAGGGGAGTGGGCTGAGTGTTTCTAGGGCTCGGCACTGCCCCCCATGCGGCTGGCCTTTCCTGGCTGCTCTCACCTGGTTCTGTTCTGCAGCAAAAGGTGGTCCGCTACTTCCCCACGGAGCGGGGTCATCCCATGGTACACGGCCCCCTCACCCTGGTCCTGACCAGCCTGAAGGCCACCCCGACCCACGTGGAGAGGATGATCACCCTGCAGTTCCGGGACCAGAGCCTGAAGCGCACCGTCATCCATCTGCAGTTCTCCTCCTGGCCGGAGCTGTACGTCGCCTTCGCTTCCTCTCTGGCCCCAAGCGGTGGGGGTGGGGGTTTGAAGTGTAAAGAGGCTCCCCTGGGAGCGGCTGCCTCCAGCTGCAGGACACGGGAGGGATACGGATCGGTCGAGGGGTGAGGCGGGGGGCTCTCCAGGGCCTCAGGCAGAGAAAAGTCTTTCCCCATCACCTCCCGCCTGGTCCTTTGAGCTTGAGACGCTGCCCGGGATTGAACTGGGGACCTTCTGCATGCCAAGCAGATGCACTGACCCGGAGCCACGGCCGCTCCCCAAGCGAAAGGTTTCCTCTGCTGCTTGCCAGAGGGATATGCCTTGGCCGAGGGGAGGGGGTGGGGCACGAGCCGGCAGGCAGCCCTGAACACGGCTCAGCCGAGGGGTCGGTCTTCAGCCAGTCCTAGCATCTGCAATCACATGGTTGCATCAAGCCCTCCTGGTTTATCTGCTGTGCCCACAACGTCCCTACTCACGTGAGCCACAGCCAGGTGGTGCCCCTGTAACAGATTTTGGAAAGCCGGAGCCTCTCCCACCCATCTTTCTTTCTCTCTTTCTCACCGCAGGGGGCTCCCGGACAGCAAAGGGGACCTCCTCCGCTTCATCCAGGAGGTGCACAGCCATTACCTTCACCAGCGGCCTCTTCACACCCCCATCGTCGTCCACTGCAGGTAATCGCAGCAGGGTCCTCGCATGTCTGCCCTGAGCAGAATCTGGGGACAGAGTCAGGCCTTCCCTGGGGCAAAGGTGGTCAAAACCGAACTTGCCAGTCAGGTGCCCCTCAGAAGTGCCCAAGCTGGACCAGGATGGCCCATCACTGGGGGTTGTTCCCAGCAGCTGGTAGGCAGAAGTATAGTGCCTTGGAAACCTGGAGTCTCTAAGTCTGCCTGCATCAGCCAGTGCAGTGCAGCAATTGGATTGGAGGACTGAGGGATCCAAGCTCAGATTTTGACTACAGGTGATCTGGGGCCATTTTCTGTGCTTTTGGCCTAAACCTCTGGATTGTTGTGGAGAGAAGAGGTGGGGGGGAGGCTGAGCTCCTTTGAGAAAGAAGAATGCAGCCATGATCCTCAGCTCCCCTGGTCTTCCCCTGCACAAATGTGTGCAGCAGCCTACAAGAGAGGGGTACTGAGGCTTAGAAGCAGGGGTGTGCAAAAAACAAAACAAAATTCAGCCCAATTCGGATTTGGCCGAATCTGATTTGGGTGGCCGAATAACCCCCGAATGCCACTTTTGGCAATGCAAGCCGATAGGGTTAGCATTCGGCCAGCCGAATCACATTCATCTCAGTTATACCCTATGGGATCCAGGAAAGGCCTGGGACGAGGCGGGGAGGCATTTAAATGCCTCCCCGTGCCTTCCCCAGCTCTCCCGCAGAAGTGGGCAAGCCACGGAAGGCCTGCAGAGTCCCCCCCTTCCGTGGCCAGCGGGCGCTTTTCGGGCAATGGTTTTTGGTGGCAGGCTGTCCCGAAAGGGGGCCGAATGGGCTATTTTCGGGGGTGCATTCGGTTCGGATGAACCGAATGTACATCCCTACTTAGGAGGGTCTCAGGACTGCTGGGCATGAGAACTGCTCTGCTTAGATGAGAGGCAGGGGAAACACCGCGAGCTCCCAGCAGCCGCATTCCAATTTGGACTCTTAAAAATCCCTGATGGGCGTCCAGAAGCACCTCCGAGACCAGCCAGATTTTCGGGGCATGAGTTTTTGAGAGCCCGAGCCCCCCTGCGTCAGACGGATCCCCGCTCTCTCTGCAGCCGAACGCGGTGGTGCCCTTGCACAGAGCGAGTTCCAGAGGGCGGCTATGTCAGTCTGCGGTAGAAGAGCAAGACTCAAGTCCAGCGGCACCTTTGGGACCAGCAAGAGTTTCAGGGCACGAGCTCTCTGACAGAGGGAGCACGGACGCTCGGAAGCTCATACCCCCCCTCCCCTCGAAAAACCGTGCTTGGTCTCCCAGGTGCTCCCGGACCCCAGTCTCACTGTCCTCCTGCAGACGGGCACAGCTGCTGCCTTCTGGTCCTTCTCATCCCTCGAGCCGACAGCCGCGGGGTTTTGTAGGAGGATGGCTGGCCTGTGATGGTGGGGAGGGGAGGCCGCCTGCAGGGGCCAGAGCGCCCGGCGGCAGCCCCTGACTTTGCTCGCGCCTCCTCCCCAACAGCTCCGGGGTGGGCCGCACGGGGGCCTTCTGCCTCCTCTACGCCGCCATGCAGGAAGTGGAGGCGGGCAACAGCATCCCGGACTTGGCTCAGCTGGTGAAGAGGATCCGCCGGCAGAGGAAGCACATGCTGCAGGAGAAGGTACCCCGGGGCTGCTCCAGCTCGCCCCCCTCCCCCCCCGAGCGCCTTGGCAGCTGCAGCGCAGCTGTTCGGCAGTGGGTGTCACACAGTCCGGCACTGAGGCCCTCTCCTGGCTCCTTCTTTTCCAGCTCCACCTCAAGTTTTGCTACGAATCGGTCCTTAAGCATGCCAAGCAGGTCCTGCAGAGACATGGGGTCACCGCCCCGTCCAGCAGCAAGCCCGCCAGCAGCCCCTCGCAGAAGGTAAAGGGGGGCTGGGCCTCCAGCGGTCTCTAGGGGGAGGGGAGGGGGCTTCGGGGCCACATCTGCCATTGGGGAAGAGACCCCTCGAGGCAGGGGGGCCGGGGAGCGAGCCGGCTCCTCTCCCCCTACCCCCCGGCCCTGCAGGCGCAGGTCGTGAGCAGTTGTTGTGCTGTGGTCGTAGGGCAGGGGGCTTCAGGCTTGCCCGACCCGGGATCCACCCCAGGGGGACGGTGAGGACCCATACAGCCTCTGCACTGGCGGCCTCGAGTCAGGAACCCTCTCTGTGCTGGCAAGAGCAAGGGGTGGGGCAGGGGTCCGGGCAGCAGGAAATGGCACTGTAGAGGGGGGCTCACGGTCCACCTCCGAGCCACGGCGCAGGGGGTGACGATCTCTCTGTTCGAGAGCAGCTCCCGCCTCTCACATTGCTCTGCGAAGGTCGGGCACCAGCAAGAAAGGGAGGCCACAGCGAGAGCGAATGCGTAGACTCTGAGGAGGGAGCTCTCGTGTATCGTCTCCCGGGGCCATCCTTTCCCCTTGTCCTTCCAGCTGTACGTCCACCAAGACCCGCAGGACCTCGCCGGAGCCCCCGTCGGCCCCCGCCGTGGAGAATAATGCCGCCGTGCTCCAGCCCCCGCCTGCGGCGCCGCCACCGCCTCACCCTGCCGACGACGACGACGGGCGCTCCGGCAGCCTGGAACAAGCCCCGCCACTCTCACCGCCCGCCCCCGGGCCCCAGCCCACCGTGGAGAACAGCCACCGCGTGGAGGACGGGGGGGAAGAGGAGCGGGAGAGCATGAAGCCACTGCCCCTCCCGGAGGCCCCGGCAGTCCCCGTGGCCCCTCCCTCCTCCTCCTCCTCGCTGGAGCTCCTGGCCTCCCTGACCCCCGAGGCCTTCACCCTGGACAACGCCCTCAAGGGCCGGCACCGGATGAGCAAGCAGAGCTTCCTCCAGCCCCAGAACGGGGAGGGCCTGCGGGGGACCCGGCCCAGCGGTGGCGACGATGACGACCCCCTCAGCTTGCTCGACCCGCTCTGGACCCTCAACAAGACATGAGGCGGGGGCGGGGAGGGGAGCCGCTGCCACCGCCCGGGAGACTCTCTTCACTGGGGGCCACGGCCGGGAAGCCTCTGCAGTGGCTGGAGCTGGCTGCCCCCCACCCCACCCCCACTGTCACACTGATTCTCCCTCCGGCTGGCTGTTTCCCCACACACACACACGCGGTTCATGGTATGCTTTCTCTCTGGGGGAGGGGGGAGCCATTAAGGAGGGGGAGGGGCAGGTGGGTTTGGCCTCAGAGGCGGGGGGGACAGCAGAACTGTGCCGCCTCGCTGCCCCCCTTCCCTTCGGATCAGTTGCAGAGTGAGCAGGGAGGGGGGAAGGGTTGTGTGTGCGCAAGAAGAGCCACTGAGCCTGCAGTTTAGATGGCCGTTTTGGAGAGCCTCCTCCTCCTCCTCCCTTGCCTGGTCCCTCAGGGTCGCAGGAGAGGGCCCAGGGAAAAGCTCCAGGCCGGGTCTCTCTCGTGCACTTTGGGAGGAAGGGGGCGGGGCCCGCCGCTTCCCGGGATCTGCCGAGCAAACCCGGCAGCGACAAGAAAGGTTCGACTCTGCCCAAGCCAGCCCCCGTCTGCTGCTCCTGTTCCTTTCTACTGCTGGCTGCATGTCCATCCACGGGCTGGAGTGATCCTGGTGTCCCCCCGGGGGCCGTGCTGGCTGCCCTGTCTCTGCCACTTGGGGCAGGCAAGGGCAGCGGGAGCTTCCACTTAGGAAGGGTGAGCAGTGGACTGTCCTCGGGGGG